TTCATTACACTGGTAATCTTCTAGACAAGTTTGAGAACCACGACTCTACAGTAAGTGCAATCATATACATGGTATCCCCACAAAATTGTCATCCCTTTGTAGTCTAGTAACATAGCCAATTCTCGCTCAAATGATCTCAAATTTTAACAAAATGTGTAAAAACTAAATTGACTGTGCAGACGTATTTCAATGAAAAGCTACCAGGAAGATAGATCCTTGAGGACACAGTGGATAAAGAGGACACATGGCACAGTGGATAAAGGCGTTGGTTAGATCCAGTGACAGGACCCAAAGAGTGTGAGTTCAATACCCGGTTAAGGCAGTGGATAACTTTCAGAGGGAAATTGGCAGGAGATAACTGATAACTGACATCCATCAAACATGGCACGTGGAACTAGAACAGTCTACCCCAATGAGCGAAATAAAGAGTTCAGTTCGAAATTCTAACCACCCGAAGGAGGCCGGAGCGTACAACGGCCGAAACGTTGTGATAAATATGGCGACAAAGATGAGGACAATAGTCCGAATAATGTTAATGATGTACATAATACCTCATCTCAGAAATATAGACAGACTATTTAATTTAGTTTGCTTGGGACATGTAGTTACGCAGATATTCAAATTTTAAATGATATCAGTTTTCTGGAACACGTTCTACATTTGTCTGTTATTACTACTAATAATAATAAAAAAAATGTATTTCGCCAAAAAATAAAGGGCAGTTTATTTCTGGAAAATAAAGTTTGTAACGAACACAGTCTTTTTAAGTAAAGTGCCCAATATTAAGAAAATGGAGCTTCAGCAGTGTTTTAGCTTGTCTTTTCTTTGAATTTTTAGAGACTAATCCCGTCCCAAATATATTTGCTTTTAATATTTTTCCGAAAAAATCTTCCGTAAATTAAGAACTTATTTTCAATATATTCATGATGATTTATTAACAACTAGAAGTCTAACCTGTTTCCACCGGGTCTTTCACTACTGGGAATTTTTGCCGTTCAGTTGGAGTAGTCTAAGTTTAAAGTCAGCCCATCTGAAAATCAATATTAGTAACAACAATTGGGTGCAACTGAGGCAAATCCCCAAATGGAGGGGGGTAACAATTTGAATGGGGTGTGGCCCTGAAAAGGGCCGTTTTTGCGTTCTCAATCTTGCAAGAAAGGAACTTCTTCCATGGATTGTCATAATAATAATGTACGATAATTTTTGTTTATAATATAATTTTTGTTTATAATTCTAATAATCTTTTGCGTTAGATTTCAACTCTCTAAATTGATTGTACGCTGTATTTTACTGACATTAAATTTTGCCTTTGATTTTTGCGGAAAGTGTAAAAAAATCAGGGTTTTTTTTTGGGGGGGGGGGTTCACCTTCAAGATTGCAATTTTTTCTAGCCAAGTTGGACTCAAAACCGGCATTGAAAAATTATGTATCAAAAAAAAAAAATCATCGAAATAGGATGAAAACTGTGGAAAGTATAAATAACATCCGATCACACACACACACACACACATTTTGAGAATTATAGGTATAGATAATATTATTGTAATAATTTAAACTATTTATTTTTGTTAAAACTTTTATGAAAGATATACACCCAAGAACAGATAGTAAATAGTAAAAACGTTGTTGAGAGTTATAATGGACATGAAGTAGTGGAGAGCCGTTGTCGCCAACAATTTGGACTCAAAACCGGCACTGAAGAATTATCTCTCAAACAAAAAAAATTTCATCAAAATCGGATGAAAACTGGAAAGTATAAATAACATCCGCTCACACACACACACACACATACACATTTTGAGAATTCTAGATATAGATAAAACGATATTACCTAATCTTGTAAATAAACTAAACAAGATCAAACGTACCATGAAATTAATTTACTTATAAAACGGAAACAAATAATATATTACGTTTCCTCGATATCATGTTAAACCGTACTGATAATTATTTAAAACTAAGTGTTTCTTAAAAATCAACATTTAAAAATGATCTTATAAACTTCTATCCACATTGTAATAACAAAATAAAATAATTAACAGTTTCTATTTAAGAACATTTAGAATTTGGAACCTTCAATATTTAAGTGATTGGAAATATTTTTAAACTCTTACAATAACCTAATTATTTCACATATAATGCTTGTTATAAAGCTCACCAGAATTATAAAATTAGAAAAGTAAATAATATAAATAACCTTTATAAAATTAGACACACAAACTACCAACCAACTCAATAATGACTATAACAGAAAAGAAGTTATTTAAATTTAATAGAAAATTTGTTGCAACTACTTCAAAACTCTTCAAATGTTCTTTTGTATGCCTCAATGATGAGGAGAACCACATTGGAAATATTTTTAAACTCTTTCAATATCTTAATTATTTCATATACCTGCTTACTAATAATGACTACAATTAAAAATAATTTATCCTAGTTAATATAAAATTTGTTACAATTACTCAAAAAATAACAAAAGATTTAATTAATACAAAAAGTTAATAACAACCTAAAACTTCCCAAACTGATTAACTGTGTAGGTACGCAATAAAAAGGACTTTTACTCAGTGGGAAATTGAAACAGATGGAAGTTATTTATTTACAATAATTCTTGTGAAAGTCACGACAGTATAGTCCTTGGCTGAGGAAAACAACGAAGTTCAGGAGATGTTGTTAATATTTTAAACTGTCGGGAAGTCGATAGGAAAACGTAGTAGCGGAAACGACTATCATTGAATGAGGTGTGACGAATGAAAGTCATTGTGTTAAACTTGTTAAAGCTGGTATAGATTTGTAAAATTATTCCAACAGCGAAAGAGTTCTCTTGTATCACCAAGGGAAACTTTGTAGCTTTTTTTCATACATTAAATTTCGTATGTTGTCCAGATTCGTTGGTTGGCCACATGGTATCTCGGAGTCTAAAGTTTTCTTTTCTTCATTGCTAAAAATATTGATTTCCGTGTCTATTTAATATACACTCTGACGCGTTATGAATGAATAACGAATTTAACTAGCTGATAATCTTGATTATATTTGCATTGGTTGCGTCACAAGCTACTTTTTCTTTTTCAAATTATTGCTGTCTTCAAATTACGTTCGACATTGGTTTTTAGAATAATCCAGAAGATGAATTTTTTTCTCTTTTCCTTTTTCCCGAAATATTCCATTTTTTATAACTCTGCGCCAAGTGCATCTAATCACGCTCATAATCAAAAATCCACCTTAGCTCTTAGCTCGGAGGTAATGTTTTTTTTTTTTTTCACATCATTTTTTTTTAAATAAAATCTAAAGCGAGATTTTACAGAATAGACCGTAGAAAATATCACAGAGTAAACGTATTAAGTAAACGAAGAAGATAAAATGTTGAGACTGAACATTTTATTTTATTTGTTTACTATTTTGCAGACATTTCTTTGCTTACATGCATCTTAACGCTGGAAAACTCGCGGATTAACATACAAAATGTCGCTAACCTCCAAAGATCATTAAAAGGCCATTTTAGGGTTAATTTTTTTTTTATTTCCGACCAAACTAGAAAAGAGAACATCTTTTTATACAATACTGCATAAACCGAAAACGCCTTTATTGGTAAACGTTTATTTACTAGCAGAAGTATCCGGCTTGACTCGGGAACCAATTTCGTCTAAATAAAAAGACACTTCATTTTATTTGTATAGACCATTAAAATTACTAAGTGAAGTAGCCATGCATTAATTTACTTCAAATAGCTTATTTACCTTCCTTAAATAAACATTTAACTTTAATTTAAATTCCCTGGCCTTATTTTTTTTACATTTCACGACCTGCAGTTTTACATGACCTCTGACACACCTTGAGTCATGCCAAGTTTAGTTGAAATCCATCCAGTAGTTTCTGAATCTATAGCAAACAAACAGACGGTTTCCAAACTTAGGATATAGTTAAATTCGTAGTGGAATTTGCAATAGAGAGTTTATTATTTAAGCTGTACGAGTTACGGAAAAAGTGCAGGTATAAATATTTGATTACTTGAGTTGAAAATATTTGACGCTTATGTGAAAATAGGGTTTCATTATTTGATATTTTGTCAAGCGGTTTCGGTTTTTACTCACATAACGAAGATTTTCTGCAATCACGTGATACAAGTTTCTACTCTAGCAAAGAAAAAGATCCTTAAGTTTTGATTTTTGCCGATGCCATTTTTATGGGACGCGATGCGAGAACCAAAATATTACTTTCATCTTGTCGAACTTATCAGAAGATTTTAACGGAGTCAGTGATTATGAACTGGAACTTTAGCATAAAATATGGAACAAGGCTGTTAAATATTTTGGAGTATCTAACCAAATATGAACTCCCAATTTGAGGGGTACTCAATTCATAAGGTGTTGTTTGACATTTTTACATATACTAAATAGGATATTAGGTTTTATTAAATAAAATTCATCTTATACAAGGCCCAAAAGCCACTCAGGGTAGAGGTTTATTGAATAATGTGTGCGATATGAATGTAAGAGGAGGAATTAGGAAGTGAAGGTGGATAGATAACGATTGACCCTAGCCTTGAAGAAGTTAAGATTGTTGTGATCAGGGAAACATACACGAAGGGAATCTCTTTCATAAAGGAATGGTTCTTAAGAAGAAGCTTTCTGGGATAAACATTCGTCTTACCAATGAAATACAAAGGGAAGGAGAGTGATTCAACTGTGGGAAAATAACAAGGCGGATCTTGGTTGCAAATGTCTGACCTGGTAGCACTAAAGAATGGAGATCGTCTGTATATTTGTCATGGAAGTGGCGATAGAAGTAGCGATAAGCCTCTAAAATTGCGTTTGTTGGAAAGGGTCTGTAGGGTGGAAAATATGTCATCTCACACCGGCACTGGTTAATCGGCGAGGTTCAATTCTGCTTTATGACAATATTCCGCCACATGTTGCCAGGGTGACACTGCAGACGCTCCCCAATTTGGGATACGAGACTCTAACAATATATCAATCCTTTTAAAGGTTATTTAGACATAAGGCTATATCACGTTGCAACACCGGTTCCCATACAATCACTGAAATTAAGCAACGTTGAGCCTGGTCAGTACGTAGATGGGCGAGTGTTTGGGAATACAAGCTGTTGTAAGTTTAGATGTGCGGGTAGTGTAATGGATAATGGCTCGAAAATGTTAATCGGAGAGCCGAGTTCCAATTTCAGTTTGATACATTATATTCGCTTACGCGCAAATAACCTTTTTACCTCTTCTCCCCCGGCTATGGGTTAATTAGTAACAGTTGTATCACAAAATCATTATCTAAAAAAGTTCTTACAATTTAAAAATATTTTCTGGCTTTAAATTGCTTGTAAAATGTTGATAAGCTGTAGAAAATGAATGAATCAATCAATTTGGGGGTTATTTACTGTCGAACATACGTTTTATATGACAAAAACCACAATGAATTAATATACAGGTAGATATAAGTATACTAGTCGTAAAGGAAGATTTTGGTTGTGCTTATATCTGTGTCATCAGATTTGCACCTGGAAGATGACCCCTTAGAATGGGGATTTTGCTGCATCTAATTCAGGGCGCCTCGTATTGACAGAGAGGATTAGCAAGCCTTCCTTGTTTATCATTATTACTGAATTTTATTCACACTGGGCGCTCCATACTAAACTGTGCATAGTAAATAACTAATGCAATGGGTTAGCAACAAATTGTAAGATATTAATTTGCTCGGTGGGAATGACTAATATTGCTATCTTTTGATTCCTCTTAGTTAAATACAGCTATAAACTGAATTTATTTTGAATGTGGGTAGCAGTAGAACAATAAACTCTAGTTTTCTTACATTTGAAAACAAATTTAACGATGTACAGCGTTCAATGGACAATTTCTTAATAAATTTAAGTAACTGGATCAGCGTTCGGTTTTACGGATCATAATAAAAATTTGATGGTGAAATGTTTTTTTCATTGTGGTATTAATACTAAACAATGATTGACACAATAAGGCCGTCTACCTATTCAAGTCGTAAAGTGTTTTGTCTTTGGCACTTTGTATATATCTAGAATTTACCAAAGTGCGCAAGTCCGTCGCCATGGTGGTTGTAGGGTTCAAACCCCAAGAATGTCATTTGACTCTCTTCTGTGAAAATGACGTCAAGTTATTTTAGTTGACAAATTCTAACTTGCAACCCACTTAAAGCCCGCATCCCCACTCAAAACAATCTGGCAACGAGTCTAACAGTATGAAATAAATAAACAAAGATCAAGTATAATCTTGTTCGAGAACAATGTTTTGACGAATCTGAAAAAAAAAACATGTCTAACATAAGGTCATCATTTTATAAAACTTGTGACGTTTAGATTTATAGCCATTGACAATCTGAAGAATATTGATTCTGCTAGATTTTTAACATTTTTGGTACGATAGAACGCTACATTTTTTAATTTTGGGTCTAATAAAAATGAATGTAACGCTAGATTTTTTTTTAATTTTTGGTCCGATAGAAATGAATGTAACGCTAGATTTTGGTTTTTTAAAAATTTTTATTCAATTGTTATTGCGTTTGATTTTTTTTACATAAATCGAATAATAGAAAGGTTTTTTGTTATTTATTTGTTTTTAGATGGATTCCCAATGTCTGAATTATAATTATATCAGTGTAATTATTGTAATTATAAACATCATAAAAATAATAATTATATCGGATTATTGTCTTTGCTTAGCCAGGTGACAGAAGCTGTAAAAATATAAGCAATGTTTCCTTTGTTTTAATGGTTTTACTTACTGATGATAGGCTATTGATAAAAGTAGGCTGCTATGGTTCCCTAAAAAGTTCTTCAAAAGTCTCTTTGTACACAAAAAGACAGACAAGTTTTGCTATTAGTATGAGACTAAGCGACTAGTTTTTAAAAAGTGGCCCGAACGGAGCAAAAGTAATAGTCATTGTAAAACATGCATAAGGTATATCTGATTAACATTTGTCCCAACAGATATAAAGCTGCATATTTTTCATGTCATGTCCCTTCAGGACATAGGTGATTATGGCTCTCCAGACATTCATTTATTATGTACGAACTGGCATGACTTCTTGGGAAATATGGTTTCCCGTTGATTTCTTCACCATTTGAATTTCAGTCCTTCTCCTAGACGAGTTTGCCACCCAAAGCTAGATAGTCTGTTCTAACCGGCTATTTAACACATAGCTGGTGAGACGTATTTATGCTTTTTGTGCAAAAGTGAACGTAACAGACTGGCTTGGAACTTGAACTCGGCTTACCTGTTCCACTATATATATATATATATATATATATATATATATATATATTACAGCCTCTTTCGATTCACTTCCCTCTCCCCCTCTCTCTTAGCCGTAACACTCATTTGGATATATCTGTATTACTGTCGTCTGTCTCCTCTCTTTTTTCCCTTTCTTTTCTCCCTTCCCATTCCTACATATCATTTCCGTTAAGTTAACCATCTAAATAGGTCAAGGTTCGATCACTCCTCCTACCCCAATATAAAGCATGCTTAAGAGAGATATGAAATTAACCCCTCCCTATACTCTATCTTGTCTCTTTAACTGCCACTCTCACCCCCACCCTGTTAAATTACAAAAATTACACTACCCATCAATTTCTAATCCCATTTTTCCTTTCATTTCGTTGTTGGAATTGTTACCTGATGATACGGAGTCCTTTAAAAAGAATTTTGGTGAAATAAATTATTGTAATGGTACCTTAAAGTGTTCTTTTTTTTTATATTATATATATATATATATATATATATATATATATATATATATATATATATATATATATATATATATATATTACTTCAGCTTTGCTACTTCAAAATTGAGAGCCAATGAATTAAACAAGATTGAGCTCGTCATCAAAGAAGTATGTATTCGACAAAAGAATTCATTAATCACCGCATCCAGTTGGATTCTGCATATCAATTTGTTCGGCAGAAGCTGCAACATGTGACACACGAGGCGCATGTCAAGCGAGCTCAATCTTTAGAAATCACGAGAATTACTTAACAACCTAAAAATTGAAAGAAACCAGTCTGAAACGCATAGAATATCGAAAATTAACTGATTAAATGGTCGATGATTAGATATCTAACGGACAAAGGCGAATTGTGAAGCAGATTTTTGTCACTCCTCTCCTGAAGATGACACCAAACGGAAGTGAAAGCTTGGGAGAGGTGAATAAAGTTCTGGAGATCATAATAATCTCCAATATTACGCCCGGAACGCATATGCAAAGGCTATAAAAATAATATTAACGGCTGACCGCTTGTTTCCCAGCATGTCTCTCTGTTAGGGTAGCACTTGAGAGAGAGAGAGAGAGAGAGAGGGGAGGATAGAGAGATGTTTTTTTTATATATACATGGATGACTTACTGCTTATCCTATACATAAATTGAATTGCAGATCTCACAATGTTTTGGAGTTGTACTGAATGATATAAATATCGTGGTCGCTGATTTTACACATAAAATGAATATGGCTGATAACGATCACATATTCACAAAATGGCTTTGACAAAAGTCATCAGTAATTGAAAATAAAAGAAGCATAAAAAAACTCGCTCTGAATTAAATATCAAATGTAGAGGGAAATAAAAATACAAGATCTTATAACATAGGACACATCTTCAAATCAGCTATTCACGTAAACTTATCTGAGTTATGTGCAAGATTACGTATTGGGTTGGGTTGATGGTTGTGTTAATGTGCTGGGTTGATGGGTTGGTTTGGGTCGATATATCAACTCTTGTTTTTTTCTTATCCTTGATTCTTTTGGTGAATAATCGAGTCAATGCATAACCATTGGTTGTGCTTATTTGTGTCTACAAATAAACATAGGTCTTGTTTATATTTGAATCTATAGGTAAACATTGGTAGGGGATGTACTTAAGTTTATAGGTAAAGATTGGTATTGTGTATACTTAAGTTTATAGGTAAACATTGGTAAGGTTTATACTTGAGTCTGTAGTTATTGTTCGTATTTATACTTGAGTCTATTGTCAAACACTGGCCGGGTTTATACTTGAGTCCGTAGTTAAACACTACGCGTGTTTATATTAGATTATATAGGTAAACATTGGTTATGTTTATAATTGATACTATGGGCGCTTACTTGATTGTATGTGTAAACATTAATAATATTTGTACCTGAGGTTATAAGTAAACATTAGAAACGTTTATATTTGTGTCTATAGTTAAATATTAATCAGATTTATAACTGGGACTATAGGTAAACTATAGGTAAACATTGGTCAGGTTTATATATGTCTATGGGTAAGCATTGGTTATGTATATACGTGAGTCTATAGATCAATATTGTCGTTTGTACCTAAATCCGCAAGCATCTATCTGGTAGTTGGCTGAAGGAGATATAATCGGTGTATTCTAGGTCCCACGGAGAAGACAACGCATACACAGAGGAACTGAGTTGCGCGCCAATTTTATTAAACACTGAACTGCGGTGAACGCTTATGAAATACGTTACTGAATTATTCACACTGGTTTTAAACCGTGAAAATTTCATGGTTTTCCTATTTTAAATTTCTGCTGAATCTTAATTCTTCAATTAATTATTAAATAAGCTCATGGTGAACTCTACGGTAATAAAATGTCCGTAGAAATTCCCCTATCGCATCGTTAAATATTTGAGCTTAACAACTTTAAAGGACAAGTACAGTTATTATATGATAGGATAAAAGGTAAAAGTTATTATAGATAATCAATAAACGACTAAGAACGTGGCTGGTTTTCTTAACGTTTCGATATTCATTCACATCGTGATCGGGATGTTATGAATGAAACTGATTTCTGCTTAATTCATAGAAACAGAACAGACATAAACAAAAAAATTAATAATCTGATTGAAATGGAACAATAAGAATCAACCAGAATTATATGACAATAGAGAAGGGTGATTCTTCTTCTTCTTCTTCTTCTTCTTCTTCTTCTTCTTCTTCTATGTGCCATGTCTCCATAAGACGTTGGCGATCATGGCTCTTCACAATTTCAGAGAAAGAAGATAGAATCACAAAACAGTGTAAAGAAACAACGATTTCAGTGTAGTTAAGACTCAAAGTGATCAAATATCATTGATTGCTTGATTCTTTAAGGCTTTTCAACCCTTTGCAGGTTATTTAAAGCCAGAAATATTTTTACTTTGTAAGAACTTTTTTGGCGATAATAATGGTTTAGTACTATAAGTCTTACTAATAAGACTTACTAATAACACGTAATAAGTCTTACTAATTAACACATAATTGGAGGAGAAGAGGCGGAGTCATAGCTTTCCCAAAGGTATTTGCGTGTAAGTGAATATAACGAACCCAATTGGAATTAGAACTCGGCTCACCTATTAACAATTCCCAGTCATTATACATTACGCCACTCGCACGTCCAGGCTTACAGTATTGATATTCCTAAGTGGTCACCCATCAAAGTACTGATGATCGGTAATCGTACAGAAACCGGTCTTTCAACGTGATGTGTCCGAAAACCTCGAATATACTGTTTCGCGCAATAAATTGCAATAAACATATATTGAATATTATATTACTGAAAAGAAAAACAAAAAGATTTGTAGCTTCCTTCTTCTTAGTGCTTTCGTCTTTGAATGTTCATAAAGATAATTTCTGGACTTTCAGACTGTTAACAGTATGAACTCTTATGTTTAACAACATGGACAAGTCACATAGATCCACCATTGTTTCAATGTGTGCCATCAATGAGTTCTAAACTATTTTATCTACCCAGTTTCATTCATAAGACCTGGACCAGCTCGTGGTAAGGTTTTCAGACACTTTCCAAAGGTGCCGCACGCTGGATGTCGTTTTCTTCAGGACGATATTATCAAGGTGTCACATTTTTGTTTAATCGGTCATGGTGAGATTTGAACCCAGCTCTCACGGTCTGAACGCTAACGTTCTAACTATTTAGTTAGGATCAAATATCAAATACGTTTTATTGATTGATTGACTCGTTTTCTACTCATTATGAACACTTTGCAGGTTATTTTAATTCGGAAAAATATATTTTTAGATTGTTAGCGGGGCGATAATAATGATTTCGTGATAGAAGGCTTATTAATTAAGCCATAATTGTGGAAAAGGGGTGGATTCATATCTCTCTCAAGGTTATTTCACGTAAATGAATATAACGAATCCAACCAAATGATTAACCAATTCACATCTGTAAAATTAGTTTTTCATTTGAACTCTTAAGTTGTTTGACAGTAGAGACGGGTCAGTATTGAACAGTGGGAACAGAGTTTCCTAGTTCAGCCATTATCTTGCTAGAAGAATCAGCGATAGCTTCCGAACAGCTTCGTATACCCACTTTCATTCACAAGACCCAGTTAACCAGGCGTACGGTTTTCAGGTATTTCCCACCGGTGCTGCGTGTTGGGATCACCTCTCAAAGAAGATATTATCAAAAAGTCACATTCTCACAATTAGCAGAATTCATACTGTTATAAAATCGAACGGATTTTATAGCAGTATAAATTCTTCCCAGACAAATCATTTCCGGTTGTACATGTTTTAGATAACATATAATGACAAGAATAACTGATGGAATAAAATAAAATATTTATTATCGATTGAAAAAAAGGTTTCAGAAATATCTTAAGAAGCATGCGCAAATGCATGATTTTTTATTTTTCTTACATGTTTTGTATAAGCATGTAAGAAAAATCGCAAAGCTATGAAATGTCAAATATATTTTTTTTTTTTGTTTTGTTTTTATAATCAGAGTCAGTGTATGTTGGTTTGAATTATTTCTTTTACCTTTGTTGGCTCATGTTATCAAATACTGGTCATGTACTTCCCGGTTTTACTAGTGTATCTGTTTAGTTCGAGAATGTCAGATCATGCAATTGAAACTGGATAGTGGTCACATAATCGAACTGGTGATTGTCTCCAAACGCGAGTTGCAAACCGCGTTCGCCTTCCGACCAAGATTCACGCGCTGGCAAAACATAAGGGCCAATTCTTGTCGAAACTGGCCGCTGGTTAAATAGAAAAGGAAGCCGAAGGCATGCCTAGCGAACAACACAAATCGGCATATCGAGAAGGCGACGAAATCGGAGATCCAGAAAAAAGAAACCAATGTCATTGGTAGATTTAGCGCTATGCTGAGAGCGTCCATGATAAGAATCAGTCGGATGCTCTGCAATGCACGTGATCGGGTCGACTTCCGGCCAACTGAAACACAACAGTTAGCACTTGTTTTACCGCTTTGCCTACCGATTTCTCCATCTTTCTGGGCCCCAGGGTCAGTGCTATCGTCAACCTTCACATTATGGACACTTTTCCACCATTTGCGACTCTCCTTCGTTTTTGCTGCGTTTAATTTATCAAAAGGCGATCCGTGTAACTTGTACAAGATTCCCGTATCAAGGCTCAGCATAATCATATAAGGCACAACCAAAATAAACAAAGACTGCAGCGAAAGCCAGACATTAAAAAAGGAAACGTAGACCCCTTTTCGAAGGTTAATTTGGAAAAGAATCGGCAAATTGAACAAAAAACATACAGTAAATAGGACAATGAAAATCGCACCACTAAAGGTATCAAAGCGCCAACTACAGGGGCAGCCATAACAGTTCTTAATGTCTTTTTTATTTGTCCATGTGTTAAGCGGGCGGAAGACGGCGAATGCCCGCTCCGCCGTGATGGTCACTAAAAGCCATGGATCTAGCATGCCCATGCTGGATTTAATCCAATCGGAGATGAGGATCCCCTGCAAGGTAAACGGATGAATGTACTGCATATAAATTAAGTAATCGGTTAGCAGACAGGCGTATAAAATTCCCAAATCCATAATTGCGACAAGGACAAAAAATCCTCCATTTGTAATAGCTGACATTCCTGGTCGGTAAAAGACGATAATGGCCGTCACGTTTCCGACCGTACCCACAGCAAGATAGATCGGAATGATGTAAGCAGCCAAAACAGGAATAATTCGGTACTGGGTTTCCATTGATGGTTGCGTTTGATTATTTACGAAATTCCAGATCGAAAGGCTTTGATTGTCTTCCAACATTAATCTGTTTTGTATGATAACTGAGGATTCTTCACTGTAGCTTGTTGGGCAAATAAGTTTATTTAAGTTAGGCATATGTGTCTGCTGAATGTGCATATATATGTTTAAGTGTTTGCATCGTTTTGTTATATTTCTATTTAACAACTGCGGATAATGCTTAGTTTTTAATACTATTGTTCAGCAAGCATGAGGCCCAATAGCTACTCAATGTCGACGGTTACTGAATGGGGTTGTTGTAAGGCTGAATAGGGAAAAGGTAAACGGTGCATATTATGAGGATAGATAACGGCTGACCCTAAACTCGAAAGGTTAGGATGGTTGCGCACAGGGAAGCATCTTCTTTGGTAGCCTGTCCCACAATGTGACCGTTTGGGGGAGGAAAGTGTCTAAGATGATTCTTCTTCCTTACCGAAGGAATACGAAGAGAATGTAGATGAGTTGATGCTGTGGCATGGCAGATCATTCATTGACACCGTGTACATATCATGGTGAGTTCTAGATTTGAATAAGTTGATGCCGTTTACGTATCACGGCGGGTCCTAGCTGTGAATGAATTGACGCCGTATACATAGCATAGCGGGTTCTAGCTATGTTGCAGAGAACAGATTATTAGTTTAATAGATAATGAATAACAGTTCCATGGGGAAACTTGATTTTTTATTGATATTCATTTATGTTATAGTATAATTATTAGTAATTAAAGAGTTTTACAGGTAAATTCATGGTACTAAAATCCATTGTAAAAATTGTCACGGTACCAAATATAATATTGTGTACTAAGACCATGTCGGCTATTAAGGCCTTGTAGTTTTAATAGTATTAGAAACAATACAGCACCCCCCCATCTGTTCTATAGCTGATAGCGTAGCTGTCGCTTTATTTGGCCGTAGAATAGAGAGAGAGAGAGAGAAAAAAAGAGGCCAACAAGAGACAAGGCTTCTTTATTTCAAATTGCCTGACTACTTCCACCAATGTGGGTTGCAGCCTACACCCTGAAGAGCTAGGAGCTTGAAAAGTGGGAAAAGATTGCGAATGTTGAATCAGTTTTGTATATACGTTCCCAAATCAAGATTTATATGTGATTACGTGTTTCCGTGATGAATCTTATACTCCTTTAATTTCACCACTTGAACAACTATGTTAGTGAATCCATTGATCACGTCGACGATGACCCTATTCGGTCATGTCACATCGTTGAATACAATAGAAAGAATCATACCAGGAGAATTACTGGTTAACAGGTATGTTCGCGCACGAACGAAATGACTTGTTCCACATGGTTGTTAGAAAACTTGGCCGCAAATGGATAGATAACATAATCATTATTTTGCAGGCAGATAGAATTGGAGTGCATTCCTTCGTTTTTTTTTATTTTTATTCATAATTTTACTTTAAAATAATGACATATGATCAAGTGCTATTTATGATCAAAGGAAGAGAGTGGACCTTTCCTTTCCAAATAAAATCCAATATCGTGTTTAATATTTTCAAATTCACCATTCATCATAAACGTTCTTCCAAAATTATTTGCAGCAAGGAGTTTTTATACACTACCGATTGACTCAATTTAGGAACAGTTAATCTCCAAGAGTTTCATGCAAAAGCGTCTTCGTTTTCTAAAATCCTTTACAAGATGGACACCCATCACATGTAATTTACAATCGTTGCTCTCATGAATAGATGGCGTAAGTAACGCGTAAGTATTACAAAAAAGAAAGTTAAGGAATCGGAGCTTCTAGAGTTTTTCATAATATCTTGAGTGCCAGACACATTTTGGGGAATCGAAATTTTCTTCTGGTAAAGTGCGAATGTCCAGTGGTAAGGTTAAGGTACATAAATTGAAGGTTGCACAGCTGTAGCCATATTCTGTGATGGAAATAAAATGAATTGCGTTAGAAATGGCAACATTAAAGATTTCATAGTAAAATGGAAAATACGATTAAAAGCATTCAAATAAAACTGAAAAACCAGAAAATAATTCTATATAACAGTTAATTTTATTAAATTATGTAGATGTGGGCTCGTTTAATTTGTGCTTTTTTGGCATGCATTTGTGAGTACACCACCGAACAAGTTGGCAGATTTTTTTTTTAAGCATTTCACCCCAAGCAAGGCGGGAAGCCACTCGGACGCAAGGGGTTACAGAAAATTTATAGCAAGATCAGATAGGAGTGATAGAAGAAAGGATGAGGGTAGTGGATAGATTAAGGCAACTGGAGATGTCGATTGGCATTACATTTGAATAGCTGGAGATTATAGCTCACAGGGAAACAGGAGAGGGGAAAGGAGTTCCACAGGCGAGAGGTGCGAGACATGAAGCTATTAGAGTAGAAGAGACGGCTACATTTAGGAGTTTCGATAGTGAAAGGGTGAGAGCGGGATGCCAGCCTCGTAGGGCGCTGGAACTCATGACGTCTGGGAACCAGCGAATGCAGCTCCTCGGAGCAATTTCCATGAAAGTATTTGTAGAACAGACAGAGGGAGGCGACGGCGCGTCTGTGAGAAAGTGACTGTAGACGAGACGCCAGGGCAGGGCCAACCATATTGCATATCCGCCTCTGGAGCCTATCAAGAACCCCGAGGCAAACAGAAGGGGCGCCAGACCATATATGGCAGCAATACTCCATGCAAGGGCGAATTGTGGATTTGTATATCTGGAGGATCGACTCCGGGGAGAAAAACTTCCTAGCGCGGCTCAGGGAGCCAACTTTCCTTGCAGTGGACGAGGCAATTGACTCGATGTATTTATTCCATCTCAGGTCAGCAGTCAACGTGAGACCGAGAAGCCGCAGAGAGTTGCTCTCGAGAAGTTGAGCGTCAGACATTCTAATGGAGGGAAGGGAAGGCTCTCTGTGGTGATTAATAGAGAGCAGTTTTGTCTTCGAAGCGTTGAAGTTGACCAGCCAATTCATGCCCCAGTTCACAATCGATTGGAGGTCCTTTTCGAGACGCACGGCAAGGTGAGTTTTGTCAGCGAGACTAGATTTGTTTTTGAGGCTGGAATAAATTGTGGTGTCATCAGCGTAGATGCCAACTTGGGAAGTTACGGCGTCAGGAAGGTCATTTATGTAGATAAGGAATAAAGTGGGGGCTAGGATGGAGCCTTGAGGAACATCTGTGTTCGTGGGATAGGAACTGGAGGAGAATCCGTTGAGAACGACCTTCAATTCACGGTTTGACAGGAATGATTGTATTAGGTTATATAATCAACCATAACCCTGGAGCTTGCGAAGAAGGCCGGCATGCCAAACCCTATCAAATGCTTTGGAGATGTCTAGTGCCACGGCTCGGGCTTCCCCGTTATTTTGGAGAGCTCGGTAGACTGTTTCAGTGATGGCTGTAAGCACATCGGCTGTAGATCGGGCAAAGTGGAAACCATATTGCTTGTCTGAGAGCAGATTATGGGATGTGAGGTGGTTAACCACCCCGGTATTGATTAGAGCTTCGAAGACTTTGCCGAAGAGGGGAAGGAGACTGATAGGACGGTAGTTGGAAGGGTCAGAGGGTCGCCGGAGTTCTTGAAGACAGGAACGATCGAAGAGGACTTCCAGCAGTCAGGAAAACAAGATTCCTTGAGGCAGTAGTTGTATAGTTTCGAAAGGGCGGGCGCCAGTTCAGGCGCGCATTTCTTCAAGACAGTGGCTGGTATCCCGTCACCACCACTAGCTTTGTTGGGATCTAAATTAGAGATAACGCCCAGTACCAAAGATGGGGTTATGTTTAACCCACTCAATATGGCCTCAGTTCTAAGAGGGAAGTCGGGTATGTGTACAGCTGAAGAGTCGAGTTGAATGAAAATTTCCGAGCAAAGCATTCAGCCTTGTCGGTAGAGGAGGTCAAGACTTCGAACTGGTTGAATAAAGAATATAGAAGGTTTGCAATTGTTCAATACGCTCTTGCAGAGACGCCAATAATCTTTAGAGCCAAATTTGCGAGATGCAATACGTTCCTTCATTCGAGCCGCAAATAGTGACTTAGCATCATTGAGGACACGCTTACATTCGTTACGGGCGGAGGCAAAGAGACGTCTATTGCAGTCAGACATGTCGCTACGGTATAGGTGGAAGTAGTTGTTCCTATGGGCGATGGCGGCTGAGTAAGCAGCCGAGAAACAGGGGGAGGAGCGCGACTTGACCCTATATTTCCTTGATGGGATGAAAGCGTCGATTCCAGCTTTAACCCAGGAAGAGACCTCAGAAGCACATTCTTGGACGGGGAGCTTAAAGACTCCATCCCAGGGGACATCGCGGAGGAAATCACGGAACGCGTCCCAGTCAGATCGTTGATAGTAGAACGAAGTTCTAGTGGTAGGAGGTTCTTTATAGGGGGTGGAGTTAAAGGAGATGTTAACCGATACTACTGCATGATCAGAGTTACCAAAAGAGCAGAGTTGCGAGGCGCTGCAGGATTCGGGGATGGAGGTAAAGCACAGGTCGAGTAGAGAGGCTTTACCTTCCCGCTAGAAATTCGCAAAAGAATGAGATTTCAAACACATCACATGTCCAAACTTTCCACAGTCAAATGGATTAGCAGAAAGGAACATACAGACCATCAAAAAGACACTTAAGAAAACATTTGGAATCAGCTTTAAGAACAACTCCTTTAAAGAACAATCGATCTTTACCGGCAGCACAACTAATAAAGAAGACTTTACGCACAAATCTTCCTAATATTAAACATAGTAAATCTACAATATAGACTGCAAGCAAACAAAAACACAGACATAGAGAACTACAAATGCTAATGCCAGATAATAACGTACGCATAAATTTTCAGGAAAATTGGAAAAGAAAAAGAAAACTAATCAAAAGACAAACTTCGCTCATATTTAGTAGCCACCGAAGAAGGTACACACATCGCAACAGAAGACATCTTCTAAAATCAAAAGAACAACAAACAATACACCAAAAACGCAGTTTGACTATAAAAACATATTT